ATAGCGAAACCGGAAAGATGAAACTATACAATTCAAACTTTCAATTAAATTTTAATAATAATTTAACAACATCAGATGAAGATTTCGCAACGGCTTTTGAATAATATTTTACTGACGTTCCGACCTAGACTACAAAAGTCAATCAATTCCTTCCCTGTTGTCGCCGATTCATTAATCAAATAAAATGTGTCTGTAAAAAAAATTTGAATTTCATAAAATATAATCAGAGGTCGATTGACAACTGACGCAGGTGTTGAGCTGATTAAACATATTTTCTGTGCAAGAAAGAATTACGAGGATGCTCTAAACCTCTAAAGCATCGGTAGTCGGGTAATAGTATGAACCCGGAAACTTAGCGATCTTTATCACTGCTTTGCGCTGCTGGTTCGGCATCATTTTACATCTGGCATATGGGAGACGGCTATACCAACTTATTTTCTACTGGCGCCCATGGGATCATCTTAGCGCTTCCCATAGTTGACTTTTATAATAACCACGGGATTATATGTTCTGATTCTTGTTAATTATTACTAATATTATTTATTTATACAGATCTAAAGCTGTTAATAAAAGAGCTTAAAAAGAAACTTTTTATAAAACTAAAAAAATTACTTCAAACAACTAATAAGAAACAAAATAATTTTATATTCTGCTTTAACTTGTGAAATTATTTTATGAATATTATTGATTGAAGTCTGTGTGTACTTTGTATTCAAAGTTATTTTTACACCTTTGAGTGGACTACCACAATCTCAGTGTCGTGTTTCTAGTTAAAGCTAGTTTCATTAAAAACTTCATCCCCTAATTTGCCAACCTTTAGGGGGGGAGTTTTTTTCCTCAAATGTTGGACCACCCCTTATTTAATAAAAAAAGAATCATCAAAATCCGTTCACAGCTGTAAAATGAATCCCCTAACATACATACAACAAGTGGTAATATTAATAATTCTGTACAACCGACTTCAATATAAATTATTAAGGATAACTCATAAACTGTTGGTCAGACTTTGATCAAATTTATATGGGACCACATGAAAAGCACCAGCTTTCAAAAAAAAAAGCAAATAAAAAAAAGAATCATTGAAATCGGTTGACCGAGTTGAAAAGTTATGAGGTAAAATATAAAAAAAGAACATACAGTCTTCATTCTGTACCTCCTCCTTTTTGAAGTCGGTAGAAAAACATATAATCGAATTGGTAGCCTCCCCTTTTAGAAATGGAATACAAAATTATTTTAATTTTTGATTTGATATTGATTTTAATTAAATCAATAATTATATTAAAATGTATTCGTTATGCTAACGAGTTGAATGTAAATTCAAGAAAAACAACTTCCTTCTGCGTGAATCCCATATCTCTGGTGCCCTTTGACCTACAGGACCCAAATTCAAACTCGACCGAGCTACTACCTCAAGGTATCCACATACCAAATTTAAAGTCAATCGGTCTAGTGGAACGGAAGTTATCGTGTCGGCATACAGACTAACAGACTGTCAGCTAAAACCATTAACTTCCTTTCAATGCTACGCAGAAGGAAGTTAATAAAAATGATTTGACATTCATCGATTATATCATGATAAAAATGTAAAACAACATGCACGGAATGGCATTTGTTTTTGTGTAACTGGTCTGTGTATTTGGAGAAAAAATGTTGGTATTTTACAACTTGGTAAGCAGAAAATAAAGCCTAGAAAGAGCTATTACGGGAAATGTTCTCATTATATATAATGAGAAATACATATATAAACACTCACGCCACTGACACAGAGAGTTAGGCAGATACTACGGATTTCCATTTGGCACGATCCTGAAACACCTGTCGTGCTTCATTTACATCCATATATTTACGCAAACATGATCGTCGGTTAAGGATACTCTTAATTTCGTCCATTTTCAATATACCGCCAATTTGGTCGATAAACTTACGCCTAGGACGTCCCTTTCCGACTCTGCCGTTCACTTCTGCAATATAAATTTGCTTTTTCACTCTTTCCTCATTCATTCTTTCTACGTGACCAAACAACCGAAACATTCCTTTCTTAATCCTAGTCACAACGTCATCTTGCAAACCACACTCTTCTCTTATCACACAATTTCTCACCCTGTTATTCATTTTAATGTAGCACGTGTGCACATGCTCAGCGATTAAGATTACTCTTAATTGGGCCCATTCTAAATATATTATCAATTTGGTTGACAAACTTCTTTTCGTATTTTTTTTATAGGATAGGGTGACAAACTAGCACACAGTCCATCTACATTTATCCTCAATAAATAATCAAAATGCAGATGCGTCGTCACCCGTAAGGACTAAGATGGAATGCCTCACACTCACCGTACGAAACACAGCTGTGTTGAGCTGCTATTTTACGCTGGTATTCTGCGAGAGCGTCGTCCTTGCCCGGTCGAGCCAACCCATTCGTGCTACAACTATACTACTAATATAGCTGCAGCATGGCTCTACCACGTATAAAACGTATTGCAGCCGATGGACACCTTCTACCAACTTCAAACAAATAAGGCTACAGCTGACACACCTCATAGTTCATAACTATATTGGCACTTTTCACCTATATTAGTATTTGCTTTGCCACCAAAGCAGAAATATTGTGGAAACTAACCAGACAGACCTATAGGCAGAAAAGTAGTCTTACCACCAAGCGAGTATTTCACCATTATCTAACTGCACCAGTCCATTAAACAGTGGCCCATAATCCGAGCCTGGGAAAATTCATCGTACATTACATCACCAGACTTTCAAACTGCTCTTAGAAAGCATAATAACTCAAAGAAACCATTCAGAAAACGATGAATTGCGGTATAATTGTGAACTCCGCTGCACGCAGCAGTGCTGCTGCAACAGTGCTGTCGCAGCAATTCTGGTCCCCATGAATTCTCTTTAGGTTTATATGAGATTACATTCGAGCTACGCAGTAATGCCGCAACTGCAATGTAGCGGCAACATTGCTGCGCTGACACTGACACTGAATTTCGACAAGTAAAGCAACAAAAATGTGAACTTCTTTGATTCAAAAGAGGAACAATTAATTAACTTGGTTGAACTTTATATCCAGCCCTTTATGATAGCAGTCATACTACTAAATTATCGTAATAATTTTATTAAAGACAATACATGAGATATTTATCAATAAGATATTATATCGAAGGAGATCAATAAAATAAGTTATTCCTCTTCCAACAATATAAATAAAAGTTGGTGATCAATCGACGTCTTGTCAACTCAAAGCAATTGAATAAATACACAATAGCGCAACATCACGAACAGGGCAACACTGCCGCCTTGCTCGGAATCAGCGCGGCAGGCAACACTGCAGCGCAGCACCACAGTGGCAGTACTGCTGCATGCTGTCGAGATCGAGATCGGATTTAATCGCGCTATTAAAGTTTTTGAATTTGACGGTTTCTTTTTCATACGTTATATTTCGTCAAAAATTATGTGACAAAGGCAAATTTGAACATCGCCGTATTAAAAAATAAAACTTACCGATGCAAATTCTATTACTTTTTTAATGACTTACCTTCTCTTGTAGAGGATAATCATGATATGGTATTATTTGCTGATGATACTTACTTGATTTTTAAACTTAAACGTCAATCATTTAAATGTGACGAAGTGAATAATGCTATATCAAAATTAGTGCATTGGTTTAACGTATGTAAGGATCGTGACACTTTGCGATCTGTTCTCTCTGGCTACCCCGTCAGGGATTGTGCGTGAAGATAAGTAAGTAAGGTTTAACGTTAATAATCTGCATTTGAACGGAAATAAAATTAATTGTGTTCAATTTACAATAACGAATGTTAAAAATCTGAATACCAATGTGTTTTTAAATGCGGAGGAATTGAGCCCTGTTGTATCCACTGTTTTTCTTGGCATCACTCTCGACGCGAAGCTTCAGTGGCGCCCCCATATATCCAAATTAGCAAGCAGACTAAGTTCTGCAGCCTATGCTGTAAAAAAGATTAGAGGTCTCTCACTAGTGTCGAGACAGCTAGATTAGTTTATTTCAGTTATTTCCATAGCATAATCTCTTATGGGATTTTGCTATGGGGGAATGCGGCTCATTCAGAAACTATTTTCGTTTTACAGAAGGCATTAGACCTATTTACAACCTAAAACCGAGAGAGTCTCTTAGGGATAAATTTAAAGAAATAAATATATTAACTTTGGTCTCTCAGTATATTTACGAAAGTTTAATGTATGTTCACAAAAACAAAGGTAGTTTTAGTAAAAAAAGTGATAAACATTCTGTAAACACTAGGAACAAACACAAGCTAGTGATACCAGTTTCCCGACTCCACAGAGTCAGTAATTCATTCTTGGGGCAATGTATACGCTATTACAACAAGGTCCCGGAAAGTGTACAGGCTCTCTCTATTAGCAAGTTTAAATGTTTTGTTAAGTTGAAACTGTATAAAAATGGTTATTATAGTATAAATGAATACATGGTTGATAATAACCCCTGGGAATGAGGTGATCGCTTCCAAGCTGTTTCTAAAATAAATTTAGTACTTATATAGTTTGTACAACCATTAATGTAAAATTTCCTTTAAAAAAAAGTCCCGTTGGTTTTCTTGCTGGTTCTTCCCAGGACAGAGGTTTTTTTTCGAACCAGTGGTAAAGTAAAAAATGACTTTCAATAAGAATTACACATGTAATGTATATTGAATAAAAAATTATTCTATTCTATTCTATTCTATTTGTCCCACTCCAAAAGGCAAGACGAAGGTTTTGATTTTATCCCTCTCGTTTGCAAGAAACCGTTCCGGTAGGGATTTTTCAGGGTTTGGGAAACATTCTCGGTTGTGATGTAAACGATAGACTGGAATATGTACGCGCATCCCCTTGTCTAGACGCAAGCCTGATAGTAGTGTGTAATCTTCAACCAGCTCCCTCGTGATGTTACTTAAGACTGGATATAAACGAAGAGCCTCCTCTGTACATGTTTCGACTTAGGGCAGCTCATTCACGCAATCGTACTAAATTTTTCCTCCATGGCAGTGGAGATACTCGTCGACTTCCGCTATGGCTTTCAACTGTACCTCCTGGTTCGTTGTCAGCTCATAAAGCGTGAAGCTAAGTGTTGTTGCTGATGTGTCATAACCAGCTGCAAAGAACATAACACACTGCCCGCTTAACATATCATCGTTTACTTCTAGATGTACTTTCTTTCCCTCTCTAGTTTTTAGATTGGTAATGCCAAACCAGTAATGTAAACCAGTCACAAACTGATTTTGTTTCAAATTTAATACAAGATCAACAAAGTCGTTTCTATTTGACGGCTTGTATTGCCTGCTCTCGTATACATCGTGGAGTAACTTTTTAAAGAACGATATTAATTCATTAGTGAAGAGCTGATGGCCCAACGAGTAGAACACCGCATGCCACATCGATCTGGAATATAATTTGATGCCTCTAACTAAAGTATTTTAGAATAATTTATCGCCCATTATTCTGTAGGGATTAGGTGTATCATATTTTTCATCGTATTCGTTTCTATACCGAAGGCACAAGAACCAATGCAGTCCATGGTGTAACGCGGTATAATAGAGTGCACATCCATAACTGGAGATGTCACGATTTTTTCGTCTAGCATCACCTCGAATGTAGGGTCGTATTTTTCAATCCAATAAAATATGTTCTTCATTTTCGCTGAAGTAAACAATGGGGTTAGATTTCGACGTAACACCTTCCATTTGTCTCCGTAAGTGAAGAAAAGATTTTGAGTTATAATCTCTTTCTCTCAAGTTTTATTATCTCTAGATCTTGAACTATGATCGAGGGTTCTGTACCATAGAATGCTCCGAGTAACGGCTCTTTAGGGAACTCTACACATACGATATGTAACCATTGGGTCCCATTCTTTCAGTAAAATAAAATCACGGTAATTACCAAAACATGGCAAAGGTTTCAAATACGGCAGATTCCTTACTTTCCAATGATTAAATTCCTTAGTAGATAAATAATACAACAACAATAAAGTAACTGATAAACAAAGGATTAATAACTGTAGCACCATTATAATTCACAGTTCAGCCACTGTTAACAAAATGGTTTTAAATCGATGTTACCTTGGTTTTTATATTATGCTAGCGTTTGATGCTATAGATAAATTTTGGTGGTTAAAGGAACCATGTATTTAAGAACGTTTACGGATATTTCTGAAAATATTTTAAATGTTTTTTATGATTTAATGTTGTAAAAATAATTTAATGTTGAAGATAATGAGGAAAGGATAAAACTTATTTAAGAGATTTTATCTGGTTTAAAATGACTTATTTTTAATTCCTTAGTTTCGGGTCCTAGGTGGTGGACTGAGGTATACTTGACATCGTGTAGTTAACCCGGCGTTTGTTTAGCTTTTTAACCGACTTCAAAAATGTACTCAATTCGATTATGTTTTTTATGTGTTAACTCATAACTTTTTTCTAGATGAACCGATTTTTACAATTGTTTTCTATATTTTCAGCAACCATTATCAGTTTCTTGCAGTGTTTTGGAAAATATATATTTCCTAGCTTGCTTGTTTTTTGGCTGTCTGTGGAAAAGGGGAGATTTTCTGCAATGCAGTATGTACAGTCCGTGGAGCGGCCAATTTTTCGTGTGTATGGAGCTTGATATATAGTCGTTCGAAAACGTCGATAGCGTGATTTAGGCTTTCGTTGCGGCATAGTCCATTGTGGTGCGATGACAGCGTCACCACATCATACCCTTGCTCAGACCGGAGATCGATGTTCCACTACAGTTGTCGGTGCGTCCTTAATTTCGACGGGTTATACATACGGTGCCACCGGTGTAACTTCTGCGACCTTAATGCTTTGTGGCATGATTTGCTTCCTGTTTTGTGGAATCCTACTACGCAGTTCCAAGTGATGCCGATCAGTCTGAAGTAAGTCTGCTGTATAAACCTGCGGTGAGTCAAGATAAAGAGAAGTTGGACTGGTTTGCAGAAGCTAATAACTGTGAAAGACAATACGTTCACGGGAGCAAAGAGCAGGATGAAGACATTCTTAATTGTTAAAGTATCAGATTCTGAGTAAGTGTTTGGAATAATTATGGGTCACGGTATCAAAATCGTTAATTTTTAGTTACAAAATATTATGTTATCCTGATTAATCTTTATTTATGGAGATTTACTAGATACTTACGTAATTATTTTATTATTGCACCTACTTGTAGGTACATATGTTACATTGACATTTTTATTTATCTGTCAAGTGTGATAAAACTGATAAATCATAATTGGAGCGATAAGATTGTTTATAGTGGCAAGTGGTGGCAAGGGTATTTTTTAAATACATTTCTGCATGTTGAAGTGCTTTATATTTTTTATTAAAGTAAATGTTTTTTCCGTTCAATTATTTATTAATTAGTAATTAATATGAATATTTAATATTTTGTAATTTGAATGAAACTAATTTTATGGATTTTATTCCACTTAATTTAATTTACTTAATGATTTCTTAATTTTTAATTTTTTTAATATTCAAAAACTAAAGGTAAAAATGAGTTTCATTTAATATTTTTTACTGATTTTAATTCCCCAAATTTCGTGTGGTTTCCAGCATCTATACTCAGTGTGTGTGGGGGGGGGGGGGGTGTATATGTCTCTTTCAGATATAAATTAAATTAAATGCGTAATATTTAAGTTTTATTTAATGTGTTATATCCGTGATATTGTAGGTCGTCGTAGTAAAGTTAGGTCAATCTAAATTAATTTACTATAGTAGTGCGACATGCAATAATTTACTTTTTTTTGTAACTTTGTTTCGTCAAAATGTAATTTAATATTTAGCACGTAATTTGGACTTCAATTTAAAGCCGTAGTAAGATTAACATATATTTTTTTTTATAGAATTAAAGGTGATAAACAAATACACAGTTCACGTAATGGTAAGTGGGTGCTGTAGCCGAAAGACACACAGTTATAGCCTCGACTAATAATCAAAACACACATGCGTTGTCACCCTCGAGGACTAGTCCTCGAATGCCTCATAAACAGTAAAATGGGTTTCTATACTCTTCACTCTCTATACACAAAGCGCAGCAGCATTTTGCTGCTATTTCACGGTGGCATTTTGTGTGAGCTGCGGTCGTGTCCTTCCGCGGTCAAGTTAACCAATTCGTGCTGCATAACGACATAGGTATTTGTAACCTTAAATTCTATTGTGGTCATAAATTTTTTTATGGTTTTGGAAACCACTACCTGCATATTATTAATAAATTAAAATTCTATTTGTTTATTACATGTCACATTACAAATTCAAGATGGTACATATATCGTGGGAGACCATGCAAGGGCTACGTCAGGGGGCCAATTCATCTAGCTATTTAAAGCCAGATTGGACAAAATATCGTACTTTAGACACGGTCTTGACGCTTAAGAATTGATACTTCTTGAAATGCGCATACATGAAATAATCAATTAAATTCTTAAACGAATGGATTTGTAAAATACTCTATATTAATCGAGATAAAAAATATTATCATTTAATCGCAGAGAAAAAGCGTTCACGTTTCAGTTCTCGTTTTTTTAAGCGATAATCATATTTAACAGTTTTCGATAATATGTAATTCTTAATCAACCACAATTTTAATCAGATTCTTTCTACTTCTTCTTTCTTTCTTCTTTATTTAAAAAAAAACCTTACCCCCACATGAGGAGTTTCTTCTTCTGTCTTCATATATTGTCTTCTTGTACCTAGATCAGCATACTTACTCCACTCGAGTCCAGCCAGTTTGATTTTATTTATTATCAGATCCATATGTCATCACTGGCAACACCACTCTTGTTCAAGTTATAAGGTGTAACGTGATAAAAAAGTGTGTCGTAAACTGCCGAACGCTGCTCAGTCGAGTTGGAACAGTCGATTGATATCTCTATCAAAGTCGGACTTACTTAATCTCATAATTTATCCAAGCTAAACATATTCGTTAACCTTCTGAATTGCGCACCGCCGAGTTGGATTGATCGTATGACTTCTCGGTCGTAGTTGGCCTTATCAACGTATGATTAATAGAATCAGGCGTTACTTTGCGGAAATCCATTATATAAAAGCTTTTAAAAAATTTACTTCGCAAATATCCGCGTTATAAAATAAAATGATGTGTCTTACCTAATATGAAGAGCACCTCCCGCCCTCCCTCAATTGCGTACACCAGCTGTTGGGAGTAGCGGTGCTGGGATTAGTGGTGACGGGGATAGTGTACGCAATTGAGGGAGGGCGGGAGGTGCTCTTCATACCAGGTAAGACACATAATTTTATTTTATAACGCGGATATTTGCGAAGTAAATTTTTTAAAAGCTTTTTTTTACTTACCAACGTAATCGGACTATTTTTCTAGGTAAACGTACTTGTCAACAACTTCGAGCGTATTGTTTCCAACAACTACTGGCACTGGTTTGGCATGTACGTTACACATGACCTTTGTTTAACCCATGTTCATGGACGTTACACATTATTTTCGTAGATATAGGATTATTTTCATGGCTGGCGTGCGAGATGCCAACCGATTTTTTATTTTCTAGTTTGCAGCTATCACGGCTTCTATCTTATACTTATGTAAAAATGAATATTTGTTTCTTTGTTTATCTTTTATGCGTTTCTATACCGTTCATCTTATTACGATGGACCTTAGGCACAGTATAGATAATAGTATATGTATCTTTGGTGGCGTTTTGTGTACTGCACAGTGGTAAATAAAATAATGACTTTCAATAAGTATTATGTAATAATCCATATTGAATAAAAATCATTCTATTCTATTCTATTCTATTCTACTCGCCCGCGAATATTTTATAAAAGGTATAGGCATTAGAACGCATGCCGTAAGTACAAAGTTTGTAATATTAAAAAAACACGCTTAATCAGAATATTGGACAATGTAAAAAACAAAGGTGTTTGTTTTGTTTTATTGAAATTTTAATGTAAAAATTATATTTATACTTTGAAGAGAGAAAGGCGCTACGATACAAATTTACATATGTTTTGCCCTATCATGGCGACGGACGAACTTCAAATTGATTTCGGTGCTAGGTTGCGAGACAATGCCAGTGGGGTCAAACTTGATCGCATCAGGGGTGTCACTTGTAGTCTCCACACGGTAATTCCTGAACAGTGCCACCAGTCCTGCCAACATCTGCATCTTCGCAAAACGCATACCTAAAACAATATTATTTTCCAAATTAATACCAAAGTAATTACGAAAGAGAGTTGTGTGTTTCCTTGCACTAACACTATAGATAAGAAAGAAGTTAACATAATACACCCACTAAAATTGTAAACAAGAATACGAAGTCGATTATTTATGAAATAGTAATAGAAACTTTCTTAATCAATGTCATCTAATCTATAAAAATTTATGTTTGTTTGTATTTTACACGCTGCCA